TTTTGTTGTGAAGGCCAAACAGCAAATAAACCACATTAACAGTTATGCACTGATATTAAAATTCTGGCTAATGCGATAGGCAATTATTTTTATGTTATGGCTAATAACAGACAAATGACCAATTTTTATAATATTTTGTATAGATTAAAAAAAACAATCAATCAATTAAATGCTACAAGTGAATTTAGGCATCACAACATCATAATGTGTTTGAGATTTGGTAAATTTTACATTTAGTAGTGTTATTAAATTTCTATAAATTATAAACTATAAAATTAGAAATTATTATTATTTTAGGGGAGCATTAGATGACACAAATGATACACATCAACCAATTAAAACACAGCTTAGAAATGCAATTTTTTAAATGTATGTTCTCAGTTAAAAAATTTTTTTTATATATATATATATATTTATATATATATAGCACAAAAAAGATTTATGTCGATATTGCCCAAAATTAAAATGTTTTAGTCAAAACTTATGACTAAAAGTAATTTAATACTAAAATCATGGTGTGGAAAAATCTGAAAAACTGTAAATATCATGACATCTGCTGGAAATTCAACCTAAAAATGTTTTACAACTATTATGTTATATACATAACCACATAATAATGCCTAATGTTGATAATCCAGTGAATTAAAAAAAAATTTAATTAAACAGTTTACATTTAATTATTTTTGTTTTTTTATGTGAAAATTCATGGTCGCAATACCAAGAAAAAATAACATTAGACATAACAAATAAATTCTGCTGCTTTACATTATGTAAAATACTCACAACAACAAACTAGTCTGGATGAGCCACATTCAAAATCGCCACATAATAGTTGATAGAGACAAACCTGTGACCACACATCAGTTGAATTCTACAGTACATCAATGTGCCAGACTACATTGAGCCTATAACGTAAGTAGTGGATCAAAACTAAACTGTTTCAATATTATCAACTAACACTTAACATTGGAAATTAAACATTCTATTTAACAAATTATGATTTATGATAAAACGATATTACAATGCTATAAGCTGATAATGAATCTCAGGATGAGATAAAGAAAATCTTTCTGAATGAGTCTTGTTTTCATATCAAAATGAACATCTGTCCACTCTATGTATAGAAATAGGTACTCTTAATAGCACAACTCCCACAACAACCCTGGATGTTTAAGACAAGCATGTGCGTCTGAACCACACCCTCTTATTCTAACAGACATTACCAAGGAAACAGAACATACAAAAATTTTCAGATTTGCTTGCATCCCACAGACAACATTAAGAGGAATTTACAAAACTACCTCCATTCACACTTTACAGTATATATCAGGGACAAACACTGTGTTTCATGACAAGAACAAGATACAATCCACTTAAAGTCACCATGAAAGCAAAATTGGGAATTCTAATTTTTTTTATTCATTTGCATATCATTGAAATCTTTAATCAAAAACATTAACCTCCCCTCCCCCTCTCAACGACATCTCTTCTCTTCACGATGCAAGACTGGAAAAAGGGGCATTTTAGCACCCTTCGCCGGTTGACTGACATGCGATCTGATCATCTGACCAATCATAATGCTGATTCCTCCATTTAGTCCGGGAAACAAACCAGACTGGAGAGCTAGTAGATTAATGTCAGTACTTGAAAATGGTGTATTGACGTCTTTTTGGGGTTGAGACAACCTACCTTTATTTCATGCTATAACTAGCAGGAAGAGATCAATTCACATTTGAACTGCAGAACTGAGGCGCTACAGTGATCTGTCATATTAAAGAGCCACAAAATGGTATTTATTGTTTGAATCTTTTAAATAATGACAACATTTGAAAGCTGAGACTTTGTTTCCTTCTAAATGTAACCTGCTCTGTCTTGTCTGTCAGCGCATTGCTCTGCTATGTATTTTTCACTGCGTGATGGCAGCGTGAGAATGCAATCGCCTCAGTTCATGCGGCACATGAACCTCTCTTCCTCTTTACTACTAGTTACAGCATGAAATAAACATGAATGATCATCAGAGTTATGCTATCTCAGCCTCAGAATGTCGTCAATACACCATAGTCCACTGATGTCAATCTAACTCTCCTGTTTGATTTGTTTGTCTGACAAAATGGTGGATTTGGCATTATGATTGGTCAGATCGCCTGTCAATCAAACTCCTGGCAACCGGTGAATTCCAAATCAAGTCCCGCCCTTTTTTTCTCATTCTAGAAGCTATTGCATTCAGATATATGTAACAACAGGGAAGAAAAGACTACCACAACTTCCGTTTCATGCGACTTTAAACAAACTGTTTAGAAGAAAACTCACCCAGGGCACATCTTGTCACATTTCTTCTCATAGCGCACTGCACAGTCATAGCAGAACACATGCTTACAGGGAATCTGAGGGAAACAAGAAGTATTTTTATTTTTTTCAATGAAAGATCTCCAGCATTATAAAGAGTGTTTTAGGGACTTGAACATCCTTCTTACCATTCGCCCATAGATCTTTATGGGCAGACCACACTTGTCACAAAAATGAACTGGAGTGTCATCTTTTACTCCTACCAAGTTAAGCTGAGAAAAAAAGCATATTTCACTTATAAATATGCTATTAAAAATTAAAATACTGCATATTTAAATATTGTATTAAATATTTGCTTTAATACAAAATTACTGTTAAAAATATCTTCTAATTTGTTGTAATTATTTGATGACAAATGTGTAACCTTATAATCCCAGAAGATTGGCTGAGGGAATCTGCGCTGGTTTCCATAAGCATCTCCAGATTTACACTCAAATCTTTCCTCTTGGTCATAGCTGAAAGGCTCTGAAGATCTCAAAAAAAGTTCATAAATAAAGAAAAACAAATAAGATATGGTAAAAAAATAAATCTATTTATTATACATGAGCACTATGGTTTTATTCAAACAGAGCAAAAATGTGATTAATTGGCATATCTGACTCAAATCCATTTAGTTGATTATAGTCCAAATAAACAGGGATGGACTGATATTATGATTCTGGCTAATGCTATAAGCTGATAATTATTTTCACGGTATGGCTAATAATTACCAATATTAAAATTCTATACTATTTTGCATAAATAAGATAAAAACTAAAATCAATCATTTCAAATGCAACAACTGAATTTACTTGTCACAACATTATAATGTACAGTATGAAAAATGTATATTAATTTGCTAAATATTTTTTCTAAAAGTGTTAAATTATTAGCATTTTTAAAGATTAACTTTAAGTGAGTGTTAAATGACAGTAAATGTAATATGAATGTAAAATAAAAGAACATGCACAAATAAACTGTATATCAGCTGATACCAATACATTTAAGCTGTTATGATGGTCAGCCAATGTAAATATACCAGATATTTAAAAAAAACAATCTGATTTCATCACTTGGAATTTGACAGACAGGCCTAAAGATCAGATGTGAAAGCACATCAGATATACATGTAGTGTGGACAAGATGAAAACGTTCTTTTGCAAACCAACCTTCTTTACTTTTTGAAGGCAATCTAGTGCTGGGACGCTGAGGTCGGGTGGGTAGCTTGCCTTTTTCCGTCTGTTTTGACAGTAACTTGATTGGGATCTGTCTGCGTACATCAAGACCTCCAAGGAATCCCGAACCATCAGTTCCTTGAAGGTCATTGTCTTGGAAAGAATACAGAAGTCGTCATTAATATGTAATCTACATTAACAAGTACAATATTAAGTTACTGATGGATTATACATACACAATTTAGTACTACATTAAAAATGAAAAATTAACACTTCATAAGAGGAGGAGGAAATTAACAAATTTATTTAAACAGACAGTACTGCTAAAGACAATAGCATAATCTAATTTATGAAATTAAGGAACATATAACAATCTAAGTGAGACCAGGGGCCGGTTGCATAAACTGTTTAGACTAGTCTTAAAAAGTTAGTAATCTATTTTTTTCTTTAAGACTGGTCATAACTTTTTTAATTCAGTTATGAAACGGTAGATTGGTCTTATTTGTAGTGGAAAGGTAAGACTGATTCCCCCTTGGCAACGGCTAGTTGGTCAAACTAGTTAAGACACAGTCTTAACATGGTGACTAAGTTTATGCAACTGCCCGTGCTATTCAGCAGTGATTAAAAAGTGCTTAATAGAGAGTGGAGAAGCAAAAGAAGTAACTTATAGACCAAGTGCAGAGTTAGTCTTAACCATAACGCTTATATATACCGTATATATACACTGCATAGTAACCAATGAGTATAACAGGGTTTATAAAAGATTTTTGGGGCTCTAATGTTAATGTTTTCTGCGTTTATTTGAATCTGCCACTTGCTGGACGCGCACTCCTCTACTTGGTAATGTCAGCGGCTAGTCGGATACATCCAATAAAAGCGTTTACTGCCAACACACACAAACGGATAAATGACACCAAGGGCTCGCGGATTTACTGGCAGCCGGTTACCTTTCACTCGGAAACATTTTGGGAACTTAAAACGTAAAGCTGCAGTAAAATACTTAGTTACATTAGCTTGTACCTCACCATTTTGGTCCATGACTTGACGCTGTGCATCCTGCGATGAACAGATGGGCGTGGCTTCGTGTGGTTTGGAGTTCAACGTTGCGCACAATTTACGCATATGATGGTTTCCCATAGCCTGTATTTTCCGTGATGTCCGTTTTGTCGTGGCTTTTTTTTTTTTTTTTTTTTTTTAACACAGCGCTTTAATTAACATCACCTATATAAGCACCAAAAGTAGTGAAAAAAACAAAACCACTTACAGAATGTAACTCAATTATTTATAAAGAACACAGACAAACCAAAACACCAACATATATTTAATATCATAAATAGAACATACAAATGTCACAATATAACGTTAATTGCAATTTTTTAACTTACAATGGCATTTTAAAAAAATACCAAGACAACCCCCCCCCCCCCTCAAAATGATATTTTTTTAAAATACATTTTTTATAAAATGTTATATTATATTGATTATATTATAAAAGCCCAGGATAACCTCTGGACAAAAATGAATTACTCTGTATTTAGGACAGTCCGAAGTATCATGTAACACATCAGAAATGCATTGTGGCTCAGCTTGGTGCCTGATTTAAAAAGCATTATTTAGCAGAACAAATTGTACTGTAGGAAAAGTCAGTCTATTCGAGGTATGCAACCTTCCAACTCGATAATTTCTGGCCAGCTTTCGTACTTATTGGTTTCCCTGTCATTCTTTATGTGCTGAAAAGGACAGAAAAGTGAGTTAAATTAATGGACCTGAAAAGTATTTTCATTGCATAAACTTAAGCACATAAATGGGTGGATATGGAAATAGCATTACCTGCTCAAAAGAGATTTTGGTTGTGGTTTTCTTCCCTCCCACAAAGACCCAGTTATCTCTGAATTTCAACTGGGAAATATATGAACTGCCAAGCTCTGCAATGAGTGTCCTTGCTTCATCATTAAGTCTATAATAAAGGAACCATATAAATTATGACATGATGAGACAACACCATGATACATACATGACAAAACTAGAGACAGAATTTCTACTCTACTTTGTGGCTGGATCATCAAAAGTGGCAATCAACACAAGAGAACCATTCTCGATTGACTTCAGAAACTCTATCAGCTCCTCAACCTCTGTCAACAACAAAAGATTACATACATGTGAATGCAAATCAGTATTTATAATGCAAGATTATTAATTAACAACATGGTGTAGCGAAGGAAAGATACAACATACTTCCGTTCCACATATTGAAGCTGCCAGTGTTGACGTGTTCACCCGTTTTTTCTGAATTTTGTATTAATAAGTAAACAAGAAACGTTAAAAATGAGCATTTATATCTATGAAAATACTGAACAATAATTTTCAATATTTCTACAAAATATTCTAAAAATATTATGTTATACATATTAATATAAGATAAAGATAATAGATTTAAAAAAACTAAGTTATCCAAAAAGAAAAACATGTTTGAAAAAAACAAAAGCAAACAAAATAATCATAATCATAATAAAAATGAAGATAAAAGCAAAACATGGTACCTTTTTAATTTGGCTTTTTTTAAAGCAAAATTACCAATCTCAACATACTTACCATTGATAATAGCAATATTAATTCCTCGTCGGTTTCCTTGTGTGTCTTTCTCTATTATCCTAAAACAAAATGGCAGAACTAGTTTAAATTCTGTTAAACTGAACTTATGGCATTCACTTAATTATTCAGATTGTAAATTTGACAATTTAAAGCCTTTACATTTTCCCCTCAAAGCATATTCGTGGTCCAATGATGTTTGTTGCACCACTGTAAATCTTAAAGGTATAATCATTTCCAGGACATGGTTTTGGGAGACCACATTTGCCTTTAGGACCTGATAAACATACAGAAACAGAGACTTAAATGTGTTCCCTAATTTATTTATTTATTTTTACACTGTACTGGACCAGATTATTCAATAAATGCTTACCATCATCTTTATGATTATCAGGTTTCAACTGGTAAGAAGCTGCTCCCCCCACTGACCTTTCTGGGTTTTACAAACATATATATCAGTAGAAACTATAAAGAACTAATACATACGCACATACGTATATACATAAAATACTCCTTATATTAGTAACTCACCTACTAAATCTGATAATGTTAATTCAGGATCCATCTGCAGGAGTTTGAGGACAAGGCTTACGGATATTATGAGGGCAGCCACCATGAAAACGAATTTCAATTTGTCTGTGAAAGCAATTTAATTGTGATTATAAATAGGGTAAACGTACCTATTAAGCTCACCAAAATCTACATTGAGACATTTTTAGTGCACAAGATATTGGTTTCAGTACAAAAAGTTATGTTCAAATACAAGATTAATCTCTCACACAAAAATACGTAATTTTATTTTAAATGACAAAAGCATTTAAATTAAGATATACATCATTAAATGCAAAAAGTCTGGCTGTGCTTAATGGGTACATGTTTGTACCCTTTAAGCACACCCCTGTTCCCATTAAGCTCACATCATGTTTTATTAAAAATTCTTGTTTATTTTAAACAACCTTTTTAAAGAATAATTGAATTTTTCAATCACATTTCATTTTTCAAAGTCAATCACAAAAAAAAAACACCAACAAGACAAAAATCAAGCAACAAGGCATTGAATTCGATCAGTTATATATTCATAATGAAATGTAATTTAAGCACATTGCAACATCCAGACTAGTCCACGTTCAGCTAAGTAACCCAAATTCAAAAACCAAATAAAACAAACCAATAAAACATTTCATTCACGGGGATGAACACAGAAACTAGCCTCATTATGAAGACTCTTATTAAATGGATGTCAACGTATCTATAGTCTCTTAAGGCTGGAATAAACTACACAATTTTCCACAGATTTACTGTCTGGAGAAGTTCACAGTAGTTGCCAAAGGTCAGAGCCAGTCTGCAGATTTGAGTTGACAGATTCCACAGAAAATCAATTAACTTAACTTAAAGTGATAACCATCAGTTCATATTTAAAGTCTGTTTATGAAGTATCTACATTGAAGTTCAATGTAGAAGAGCTTAAAGAGAGCACACTGAGCTTAATGGGAGCAGAAACAATTTTTTTATAAATTTCATGTAATATTTATTCAAATGACAAGATTTTGCAAAATAAATAATCTAGGTCATGTTTTAAAGTTTAATACATATTTTACTATGAACAACTTCTATGAAATTATACTTTTTCTTATTTATGTCACACTTAATCTGTGTGATTTTCATAGTAGTGCACCCTTTAAGCTCACCTTAAAATAATATGAAATCTTAAAAAAAAATACAGCTTAAAACCACAGACCAGCAATAAACTACTATCTTATAATATTATGGATGTAAAAGTACAAGCCAGTAATGCCTGTAAAGTAATTTATTAGCGTAGCACACAATCTTATACAGCTAGTCAGCTAACTGTGTTCTGTAGCATCTGCGCTGTGTTGCTAAAACTCTTTTGGATCTAACTGTAATTATTTCCCACAGTTCCAGGTTATAATCTGCAAAAGTCTAAACATGAATCTCTTAATTTTACAATAAGTAGTGAAATTTACCCAAAATAAAGGCTTAAATATCTTTAAAATGCACATTTAAGGTTTTTTTGCACTCTTTTGGTGAAAGTTTTCAGACAGCTTTCAAAATGGCCAGCAGACAGTGTGAACACATGGAGACTCATATCTCAGTGTGCAATGATCTGATTGACTTGAAATTACAGGAGGTATGTAGTAACAAACATATCAATTTGTTAAGACATCAAGTATGATAATACATTCTTTTTTCTTTTTATAGTCTGAGCTCAAATATGGAAGTGTGCTTAATGGGTACGTGAGCTTAATAGGTAAGTTTACCCTAATTCTCATTATACAGTAATATTCATCTTTGATTGTAGATTTAATGTCCACATATTATCTTGCTCCTAATAGGGTGAGTTCAGTAAATATAAGACAATTACGTTTAAAGACATATCACAGTTTTTCTTGGTTTCGGACCATGTTGGTCATTTATAGTCAGGCCTGAGATCAACCTGGTCGACCTGGTTGATTAAGCTGGTTAGATCTTTTAGACCACCTTGGAGCAGTAACAAAACAGAAGCTACCATGTGACAAAACCAGTTTGGCCAGTTTAAGCAGACAGGAACATTCATAGAAGAAAATGATATAAAGTCTATTTAGGAGGGCTGTGGCATCACAACTTTGAAAGCTGAGAATACATTATTTTTCTGTCAACTATGCAAAGGAGACATTTGCATTCAGAGTCACTTTCCAGTTTGAATGGAACTGCATTGTGATACAAGACAATGTAACCAGGAAAGTAAACGCTGCACTGCGCTTCTGAATGAATGAGACATCTAGCATGTCTTCAAAAACATAACTTACTTTTGTCTCTCTGTCTCTTGTGTAGCACAAGGGGACCAACTAGAAATAAAAATGTCAACATAGACATAAAAGAGACAGAAATAGATAACGAAGAGAAGGAAAACTAACCTCTTCGCATGTATATCATGACTGAATTGTTATGCTCCGCTCTCCTCACGGCAGCTGTACGTCCACTTTACGTGAAGGTGAAGAAATACAGGTTATTCAACACGTATAGTAATCTATCATTGGATCAATTTCTGTCTTTAAAAAAATGTTCAGCGTTGTCCTTGCTGATCTAATTGATTGAAATGGCTCTAGACTTTAGACTGTAGGGTTAGGCTGACTAATGACAGTGAAAAGGTAGTGCATTGTATTTAAAACATATTCTGTCCAACTTGGTTAACTCGTTTTTTAGGATTCCGGCTAAAGCACAATCTAGTTTGTCAGCTTGCATGCGAATAAGTTTGCTCTCGTTCCTGACTACCTTTAAGAACAAAATTGAGAAAAGAATCACACGTAGACTTGAAATTATATATATATATATATATATTTAAAAAAAAAAAGTAGTATAAAGCAGTATATCCAACTCGTTTAGAAGAACGATTCCCTTCTTATGTCCATGTAGTACTTACAAGGAATCGGTCTTTGTCAGGTGACGTCACACTCACGAGAATCGAAGTGCATTTTGGGTATCGCCGCCATTTGTAAGGTATCATATGACAAAGAAGACAGTTGTCCGTTTGTGGACACCGTAGCCTCGCGGCTGTTTGCGTTTGTAGTTCTACGTTGGCGTGTCTGTCATTCGGCAGCCAAACCGCTAGATGGCGGTGTCGACTACAGGTCCAGGAGCACAGCATCTGTGTCATTGTCACATCACACTGACCATACCACATCAATTTGGTAACAGTGCCACCTTCTGGTCAAAATTGATAAACCATTAAATCATATGACTAATGACTGAATTTATGATTTTTCAGCCAGTTTGAGTAAAATCACCTTAAAATGTCTTTAATCTTATTGTTGCATTTGGTCTGATCCTCCCTGCCATGCTTGCTCCTCATCCTGCCTCGGTTGTGCTTGGCCCCTCATTCTTCAATCACACTGGTTTGTAGCAACAAATAGTTTTACCGTTTATTGTACTTTGTTATTCTTCTAGCTATTTACCTATATTGGCTAATAATGTAATAACAGCACTCGTGTTCACACTTAATTAAACCGATTTGAACACGAAGGTAAGCAAATGCTGACAGAATTTTGTCCTTTTTTTCTTTCTTTGCCTCTTTATAGTGTATTGTATGTACTTTCTGCTGAATCATACCAAGAAGGGAGGGAAAGTACATTTTAAACACTTCAAGTGTTTTCATTACAGTCAGGCTACTACTGGTGAATTATAGCTGGATTTCATTTGTACATTGAGATGCTGCGAACTATTCATGTCATTCCCTTTTTCTAACTCTGATCTAAATTTATTGGGTTCCCAAGAATGCCAAACAGGCAGACAGAAAGCCATCCTCCACACAGAGCCAAATAAGATACCTTTACAACCATGTGATTGAATAGCATTCATTATCATTACATCAGTGTTCACAATCTTATACTTGCCCTTGCCTTTTCATTCAGCACACCACATAAATATTAAACCAATGATTAAACATTTTATCTGAGGCAGAAAAAGACATTATGTTTTGATCTAAGGCATACTGCAACATGGAAACAAGCAAAAATATGCCTGTTCTGCAATAAGGTATCATTTGTTACAGTAACTTATATTTAACTAAAAGTAAAAAAAAATATTTAAAAAATTACAGTGTATTAATACAAAAGTTATCCTCCAGTCAGTAGATTGCTCAGATGAAATTGCTAATTTTTTCCTGACCAATTCTCATACGGTCCAGACGAGCATGTAGGTCTCTGCGCTTTTTACCAACATCAGAGTCCTCGAACAGGAGCTCGCTCACATTTGCCCCATCCAGTAAACTCAACATGTCAATAGACAGGAGGTGAGCAGTTTGCTTCAGCATGAAAAGAGTGATCATCATGGGCAGTTGGTCAGACATCCGCTGCACCACAATCTGAAAGAAAATCAAAGAGCTGCTAAGCACTGCAGTCCATTCAGTCTCTGAAAAGAGCTTCATATTTGTTACTGAAAACTAAGAAAACCTCATAATACCTCACAATATGCCTGCAGCATTTCACTGTACGTGCATTTTTTGTCAAAGAGAGGTAACTGCTCTTCTGAAAATGGCTCTTTGGTAATCTCTCTCAGGCTCTTCAAGTAGATGGGATCTTGAGTGAAGATCATGTGTTCCATTTCAAACTGCTCTGAGATCCTTTTCTCCGCCTTTTCTTGCTGGACTGATTGAATGTTGTAAATTTTGTCCTAAAAAAAAGAAAAAGTACAGAGAAAACTTGATTAAAAATAGACAATCATTTAGTTTTGTTTACCACTAATCAAGAGCAATATTTACCTTAGTGATATCTAGAAGAGCAGGGTAGTTCTGGAAACACTGATTGACTACATCAGTAAAGTGCTTGATGACGATGCCTTCAGGAAAAATACATAAATTAAAAAAGGCAAATAGTCTCACAAACCAGATGTGCTAAAACTACAAATACATTCCAAGTGGCATTCAGATGTGATCTAATCTTTTGGTCTCATATTGGAAACCAGAAAGATGTTAAACATGAAGATACCTTTGATGGCACTGAGTAAATCAATGGCAGGTTCTTTAAGTGTGGTCACATGCTTCTGCAGAACCACCTCAAACATTTTGTAGTTGCTGAAGCCGAGCAGTTCCCTCCCTCTGTAATTCTGGTTAAATTTTATTTCCTCTTCAGGCAAATGATTAACTTGTTTGGGAGCAAAACAGATTTATTTTAGTCAATTGACTTTTTCATTGGAAAAACGCAACAGTAAATTTAAACTTATATTATGTTTCGTAAATATGAAAATATACTGACAAGATTGCTTTGTCTCATTAAGATGATCATTCCACTTCTTAAATTCCATCCGAAGCTGGGCAAATAAATTTTCTTCGATGATCAGCTCTCCTTCTGATATGGACTTGATTTGGTTAATGAACCCTATTAAAGTCTATGAGTGTAAAAATAACATTTGTTACATAAAAAGTATGTTATATAATAATAACATTAATCATATAGAAATATGACAAAAATGAATGAAATTTATTTAAATTATTTGTTTAGGTGATCCTGGAGGATATCGTCATCATCGCAATAATTTATTCTAATCATTGCTGTTCCACAAGCAAAAATGTAAATTAGAATTGTAAATTCTAACCTTGTGGCTGTATCTGACAAAACTGAGTATATCTAGTGACATTCTTGGACCCAAAATAATAATTCTGAGAAGCAATAAGATGTGATGGACTGAGATAATTCAATTCTTACTTCAGTGAGGAATTGTTTGGCTCCCTTAGGGTCTTGTGGTGGTCCAGCATCACACTCTTTGAGCTCATTCCTCAGGTCCCACAACTGCTTTTTTATCTGCTCATTGAGCTGAGGCAGGGATTTCTGACAAAAATGAGTGAAAAATAAATAAATAAATAACATGAACAGTGATTTAGACTCAAAATGAATGAGATGTCTTTTGCCATTTCGGTCTTTTTTACATTGCATAAGAGGTATGTGAAACAATATACACATTTAGTCAAGAATATTAAACTCAGTTGTCATGGTGTAGGGTTCTAGCAAGGCTGCAAACACAAGGGGTTAAAAAGATCAGAGGAAATGCATCAGTGGAAATTTATGACTGATTTTGCTTTCAAAATTGTACATTTAAATTTCAAAAGTATAAGTCTGAATCCCTGATGTTTAGAAACTTACTTTAATATGATCAACGAGATGCTGAGTCAATTTGACAGCAAGACTTTTAATAGTCGCTTTCTCCTCATTCAAGAGGCATCTGTTGAAAAAGAAAAGGCACTTTTTTTCTTTTTGTAAGGTGGCATAGCTTGATAAGCAGGTATTTCAAAAATGGCCAATGGGAGGTGCAGCCGAGTTACAGTGGGGCAAAAAAGTATTTAGTCAGCCACCAATTGTGCAAGTTCTCCCACTTAAAAAGATGAGAGAGGCCTGTAATTTTCATCATAGGTATACCTCAACTATGAGAGACAAAATGAGAAAAAAAATCCAGAAAATCACATTGTAGGATTTTTAAAGAATTAATTGGTAAATTCCTCTGTAAAATAAGTATTTGGTCACCTACAAACAAGCAAGATTTCTGGCTCTCACAGACCTGTAACTTCTTCTTTAAGAGGCTCCTCTGTCCTCCACTCGTTACCTGTATTAATGGCATCTGTTTGAACTCGTTATCAGTATAAAAGACACCTGTCCACAACCTCAAACAGTCACACTCCAAACTCCACCATGGCCAAGACCAAAGAGCTGTCAAAGGACACCAGAAACAAAATTGTAGACCTGCACCAGGCTGAGAAGACTGAATCTGCAATAGGTAAGCAGCTTGGTGTGAAGAAATCAACTGTGGGAGCAATTATTAGAAAATGGAAGACATACAAGACCACTGATAATCTCCCTCGATCTGGGGCTCCACGCAAGATCTCACCCCGTGGGGTCAAAATGATCACAAGAACTGTGAGCAAAAATCCCAGAACCACACGGAGGGACCTAGTGAATGACCTGCAGAGAGCTGGGACCAAAGTAACAAAGGCTACCATCAGTAACACACTGCGCCGCCAGGGACTCAAATCCTGCAGTGACAGACGTGTCCCCCTGCTTAAGCCAGTACATGTCCAGGCCCATCTGAAGTTTGCTAGAGAGCATTTGGATGATCCAGAAGAGAATTGGGAGAATGTCATATGGTCAGATGAAACCAAAATAGAACTTTTTGGTAAAAACTCAACTTGTCATGTTTGGAGGAGAAAGAATGCTGAGTTGCATCCAAAGAACACCATACCTACTGTGAAGCATGGGGGTGGAAACATCATGCTTTGGGGCTGTTTTTCTGCAAAGGGACCAGAACGACTGATCCGTGTAAACGAAACCCCATAGAAAATCTTTGGAGGGACTTGAAAATCCGTGTTGCCCAGCAACAGCCCCAAAACATTACTGCTCTAGAGGAGATCTGCATGGAGGAATGGGCCAAAATACCAGCAACAGTGTGTGAAAACCTTGTGAAGACTTACAGAAAACGTTTGACCTCTGTCATTGCCAACAAAGGGTATATAACAAAGTATTGATATGAAATTTTGTTATTGACCAAATACTTATTTTCCACCATAATTTGCAAATAAATTCTTTAAAAATCCTACAATGTGATTTTCTGGATTTGTTTTTTCTCATTTTGTCTCTCATAGTTGAGGTATACCTATGATGAAAATTACAGGCCTCTCTCATCTTTTTAAGTGGGAGAACTTGCACAATTGGTGGCTGACTAAATACTGTTTTTCACCCACTGTATACTGAAATCTCTGAATCTTTAGTCCAGAAACACTATCATGCTAGAGAACTGGCTGGAATTGTAAAACAGCAACCTGATCTAAACAGGGCAAATCAAGTCTCATGGACACATACATTTTTAAGAGCAAAAGATTAAATAATCTTTTCAGATTGTAACCTGAAAAAATTGTGTTTCTGGAAGAAATCTCTCTCTTTTTGTG